CTAAAATATCTACCATTACTAAGGACAGGGACTCATCAGAAGATTGAGTAGTTTATTCGTGTTAGTATTGAAAATTTAAAAATATGTAAATGATTATTATTATTATTATTATTCAAAACGCAAGCAAATAAGTCGGTCAATCGGATGATTGACCAGTACCGACATTTCGACTCGTCTCTCACGAGGGTGGTATGGGCCGGTTTCTGCAATTGATTGTGGATCGCAACTGTAATGACGTCGATGTTGCTGCTGCTTTTCTGTAATTGGCTTGATAAGGCTTGTCCAATTGGTGCAGATTTCGTATCCTTAATCCCAGTTAACATTTTCGCATAATTGGATAATTAAGGCTTCTTTAATTCGTTTTTTTAGACCAGTTATTTTTCTTTAACGATACCCGTATAATTTAGCCGTTGGGGGACGCAACAGACAGATTATGTCTGCCTGCATGCTCCAACCATGTGTTTATTTCCATAGCCTGCTTAGCATCACTCGCGAAGCCATATTTTCTGATACAAACGCTCGTTGTAGCCGTTAATCAATTTAGTCCACATCATAGCTGTCTGTGCAATATAATTACTCAGAAACCCTTATGCATAAAAAATTGTTTTGCATGAATATTGCTTCTTTGTCTCCATTGTTTTTTGCTAATTGCTATGTGGTCGAACAGGATGACGTTGTTCTTTTCGATTGTGCGTTTCATTACCGTTGAACCTTTTTAATCTCGTCACTTTAAGAAGTCTGTGTATCAGAGAATTCGATTTTTGAGCAACCGTCTGGTATCCTCAGATCAATTGTCTACCTACGTATAATTAAGGCTGCAAACAATAGAATTCGTATTTATTGTGATGTGATGTTACGTGCAGAAGAAACCCTCAAGACTTTATCGTTGGAAAACAGTGGATAACAGGTAGTTATGGCATTTAAATGTCTGTGATTCAAGTGGTTGTTACGGCGTAAACGTTCGTATGTAATTAATGCATACAAGAGCGTACTCCTCAGAATCAAGCTTACAAGGTGTGTTTTAATATACCTCAAGCAGGCAGAAAAAGGGTAAATCGTATCGGATGATGGCTGAAATGTTTCAGCCGGTTAAAATGTTTTTCGCAGTAGAATAAAACGCAGACTGACAATAAACGAGAATGCGAGGGCTTTTGCCACTCTGTGACTCAATTTTTTTCAAAAGCATACGTTAATCAGGCCTCATGTTGCGTACTCAATGAAAAAGTACACCTTTGCAAGTCAAATATAAGACCCTAATGTCGATTCATTTGTACACAAAGAAATGAATTTGAAATAACATTCTTCCTGAAACAGGCGGATGTGTGAAATAGTTCGTTACCGGTAGCCGCAAGCGATTCGTTCAAATTCGGGAAAGACGTCAGTTTGAGGCTTGACAGGAAAATTTTGGCCATCAAGCAGACGAATACAGCCGTTGAAAAGTAAAAATTACATCCCAAGATGAAAATATGGACGCCAAAAAAGAGCCCGTAGCAAGTGACCAGACTGCTTGAAAGTTAGTAGCTCTTGTAGGATACTCAGCTTACAATCTTCTTGGTTTTCGTGAACTTCAAGCGATAATTTAGTCTTCTGCAGTGTTGAAAGCTGGAGAAAGACAAGAATTCTGCCGCAGATGCAAATGACAAACGGATAACCCATAGGATTTAGATATACCATAAAGTAGGATATTTTGGTGACTTCCATTAAGCAGTAAACCTTAAATTCTAAACTGAACAGCTACGCAAACATATAGAAGAAAATCTCTATCATAAACATAAAACCTGGTTCGGTAGAGTTATACAGCGATTCGTTTGAACAAACCGTGACTATTATTAGTATTACTGTACGCACATAACTTCGAGAAAGCCATATTAGAAAGTAGAGATCCATTGAGCAAAACCACTGCTAATTTACCGAAACGGTATTCTGACAAAGTCAGAGAAACTGCTGTAGACAACAATTTGCCCACTACAGCGTCAAGTGAGATGCAGTATAGCTAACTAAACATTCCTGTCGATCGAAGGTTTAGGACGAAGAAATAACTGCATGTCCGCAGGTAGATAGTTCAGATCGCGTAATACAGGTGCAACTTGAAATCTGGAAGACTTCAACTGGATTTGGCCACCAAACAGGCCGTAAAAGTACCGCATACACTCGTAACGCAGGGCAACTTGTTTCTGGTCTCCAAGGTAGTGCTGCGTCAATGCACGAGAACTGCCAAACTCACTGACCGGTGTCACCTACAATAAATCTTGAACCTGTGAATCAAAAATACCACTACGTACCTTAAACGGTGGCAGTTCGCTGTAATTAGCTATTACGAAATTTAACGCAATATCTTCACAGTCCATCCTCGCATCCAGCCATCGTTTCGTTGCCGGTGTCAATTTTTTGTTGAATAGGTAGTTATAAAACTAACAATAATGAGAAGAACGAAACGCTCGTTGTATACAGCCTACTTTATGATAGAAAACAGCACCGGACACGACTGCGCTTAGATTTCGAGTCAAATGATGACCGTAAACAAATCTCTGCGATGTGGAATCCAAAACGTGAATTTCAGACGCATAACCAACAAGGCAAGAGGGGAATTCTCTCCAAACCTGAAGTAACTCAAAGCATCACTACATGTGCTCCTACGGAAAGATATCAAGAGTCGCGACACTGCAACACTTTATTATACCGGTCATCTTTAATCTGGGTACTCTGTCCTTGACAATGATACCCCAGATGACGATGAAAACAACAACAACATATAAGGTCATCATACAGTAAAACATCTGCAAAATATTACATTTATTTGTTTCATAACTATAACTGAATTGAAAACTTTACGTCAAGCGGGGACATTTCCATAAACGTGTTTACTTCGCTTTAAATTATTCAGAATAGAAGTACCTGATAGCCAAATTCAATATCTTCTTTCATGAGCATATCGACATCTTCATCCAGAAATAATATCGCTTCTGTAGATAGATCACGATAAGGCAAAAATCTACAAAAAGTGACTGCATGGCAGCATGTTGAGCAGAGAAAACAACAAATAAATAAAACAAAATAAAATATGTGCCATAATAATAAATGAAAAGGATTTTTACCTGCTGGTGGCCTTTTGTGATGTGGCAAGCATAATCTCTAAAGGCGTATTAGTTCCAGGAACAGTTGAACCTATAATTTAAACGAGTACGCAGTGGGTATGGTCACGCATGAAATAACGATTTTTCAACATAAAACATCTTATCTGTTGTTAGTTGAAGTGGTTTCAGCTCACCCTTGATGAAGGTGCTGGTTACAGAGAAATAATACATACCTTTCAGAAAAGGCTTACAGAACCTTCGACAATTTGTTTTTACAATGCAACATCCATGTTAGTAAATATTATTAACACCGAGAGCCTTTTACTTTCGTCAATTTGTTTAGACAAGACAGTTCTGAACGAAAAACTCAATCTTATAGCAAGTTTTGTCACAAAATAATCGATATATGCAGTTGTAGTAAGAATTCTGATCAATTTTCTGAGTAAGCGCAGTTAACCATAGGAAATTGCAAATTACACTGAATGACGTCCAGTGTTCCTCAGAATGATTTGTTTGTACGCCAGCTTGACCTGAGGGTCAAAAGCAAATCGAACAGTCTGAAGGTAATGCTACTGAGCAGCTATAGCAGATAAGTGTTCTATTATGCTAAAGAATAAACACAGATCTATCAATTATCTAAACGTTCATAGAACATGAAAACAATTTTAACATAATGAGAAAGCATCTGAACCGATCATGGGGAACCAGCGGTAGTCAAGCCTAGCCAATGAAACAGCACTACAATTATACAGAAATAATTCATACGCTCTAAGAAGTTACGGGGGTACTGTTTGCAAGCAGACCGGTAGCTGTTACGAGCGAATGCTTAGTGCTGCAGTTGCTGCTTCGATTTTGTATAAGTGGACGACGGTCATATATACTGATATATTGATATCTAATAACTGATAGAGACAAACTGCCGATTATATGTGCTTTAACTTCCGATTCAATGACCGTATGCTCACTCAATGACCTCTCAGAGTCTCTACACAATAGTCTCATTCAAAAAGTACAAGTTTGACAAGGGCATCGTACTTCAGTCACAGAGTGTTGTACTTACATAGCACCATAGATTAAGTCAAATAGTTGATGCAGATGATCACCGCTATACAGATTCAAATCACCGACAATAGTACTGAGCGTTATCAGGAACCACCGATCTGCGCCCACACGGCGCGCACCAAAACAACCCATTCAGTTAAATGTAATCTCAGCGATATTGACTCTGCCTTCTAATCATATGTTAGCGCAAGATGACATTTTCGTGGCTGCTAAGAAGACCGCCCGTATCCGAGGACCTTCCGCCATCGAAATGACTCACACACCAAAGTCACTGGTTAACCAAAGCCATACGACAGGTTTCTGAGGATGTGATCACATAGGGATTTTTTCCTTTTTGGTGAGATAGCATGAGACTTCATATATACATGCTGTATTATCTCCAGCCACAAAAACCGTAAGAAACTTTTCTCTTAGAAAGATATATCCTGACATACAAGCAGTGAAATTAACTACAAAGGTATGAACATTATAAACCAGTAACCCGTTTAAATATACCCACCATCAGATAGGGATTAAGATTAAGGTAGTCGCGATTATAAAAGACACCGCGACATCCAGTTGTAAAGCTTATTAACATACTGACGTGCGGAAACATATATGACGTTTTAGGCAAACGGATATCCGCCGTTCATCCTTCCAAGGTCTTGTTAGCCAAACTGTTCCATACTGCTGTTAAGCAATCGTGGCTAATGTATAAAATCTCTATTGTACCGTGCCATCAGAGAAGAAAAAGTATTTGATAGTTATACAGCTTTAAAAAAGCCAACGCTGAGGCTGGTCTGATAGAATGATTAACGCAGAGTACTACGTATGTTAATGCACATAGAATTGAGCAGTACAAAAAAGCTAAATATTTAATCACTCGAACGTTAAAGAAAGTTCTCTGGAATAAAGTTTCGTGAAGAACTAGACATACTCCGTTAATTACTTAACTGTAGTCAAAGCAGGTTAAAAGTTTTCACGAAAAACGTTGCGTTACAAACTATATTTAATAAAAACAACTATTTCAAACAAATACCTTCGTCAGGTGGTTGCTGGGCGCTGTTCCAAATTACGACCATTTTCGACAGGTCCTCAACTGTGGCCAAAACCTTCATAATTTTTGCCAGAAAGTGTGGCCGCTGTTGAATGAGGACGACAGCGGTGAATCCATCCTTCGGCGCGTGGCGTGCCAGGAAAAGCGCTTCGCGACCGAGGGCGATCTGAAACGAACGTGCTTTGGTTGTCATCATTATCAACATCGTGATGTTTGTTGTCATTTGATATTCTTTAACTTCATCTTCATACTCATCATAATTACTACTAAGACTACTAACAGCACCATCAGTGCTACTGCTCATTATTGATTATTATACGATATATGGTATATTATATACGGTCCATCTTACCCTACGTTCATCACAGTTCCATTCCCCGTAAGACCGAGAGCGGTGAGTAAAAATACGATCCTCAATGATCTTAAAGGCGGTCAACACGATTCTGCTCATTGAGCTGAAGTACAACTGCCAAACGCATTTCGCATTACTACGCATCACTTCTGCCTTGCTGCTGGAAATATTGTGGCTGAGGATATCAGGCAGATCAGACAGTTGATTGGAGAAGATCTGGAAAACGTATCTACAAAAACACTTCGTCAGTTCGTTTGGATAATTAATTACGACCAACTTCAGTGTTTGTGACAAATGTCTAATATTCATGCAGCCAAAATATGCAAAATACAAAGTTTCAACAAAGCTTTAAAGCTCTGCAACAAAATATTTAAGAATTCAAAAAAGCATCAGAAAACACATACTAAGTTACATCGAAGTAATGAAAACAGATAACAGCAAAATGGTTTCTGCAGCTCAGACCGATTCCGCAGCGTTGACAGCTGTTACTTTTGTCAACGTCATCTGAGACTTATAAAGTTTGGGCAGACTTGCTGCTGCTGTCAATAACTGGACGGCATTCTTTTCTCTGATTCTATGCTCAGCAACAGAACAAACAACCAACATCAAAGTATTTGCTTAATTAACCATATGAATTATAGCTTGTCGTAACTACAACCGATATCAAGCAGTCGAAACATTCGTTTAATAAACAAATCTGTTCCACTGGATTTTACTGCTGTCAACGAAGGGAAATAATAGAAACAGCCTTCCATTACACAACCATTTCGGTTACAAATAATACAAGCAAGCAAAATAAAAAAATTTAAACTTAAGGTTTATCACAAAAAAGCTAGAAGCAACACTGTTAAATATAACCACTTTGGCAATTATAAAACTTAATGCAGAAATGTATGAACACTAGAATAAAATACAACTTTAGAGAAACGGTAGTCAATCAATCAGCTCGGAATGACAATGTGACATTGCCAATATTGTTTTCGCAACTGTTGTTACATGCTGTATCGCGGAAGATGAATCAAACTCGATTAGATGCGTCTGAAAGTTGATTGTTTATTAAAATTTACATACAGATTATAATTGTATAATTATACAAGTTATCATCGGTGGGATTGCCTGTGGGTAAGGTCAACTCTGGTTAAGTTGCCATTATATTTCTATTTGGATCACGAGCTGTTTCATCCTTTGGCATAACGTACCTATTATTCCACATGAAAGAACCATGTTAAATTTTTAATCTTCCAATTTTATATCAAAAACATTTAAAACGCATACAAGAAAGCCACGCCCCTGAAACCAAAACAAAGCCTCTTATAAAAAAACTGGATGGCAGCTACATCAAGCGACCCTGTCCAACGGTCGCTTGCTCGTCATCTTGAAACGAAAGATCGATGCAGATCTTGGAATGGATTCAGTAGTAGCTGAATCGGAACTAAATTACTTAAATAATTAAAAGAAACAAACCTATTACAGATCGTTCGCTGATTGATGACTGAGGAGGAAAAACATAGACTTTAACAGTTTATTGCCAACTCGTTTAGTTGCGCCCGCCGTGGGATCGTCAAGGCACATATTCAAATAAATAACAAGTGAGGGGAAAAACTTATTCATATAAATTAATATTTGTAAACTTGAATCGAAAACCAGCACCTAGATCCACTTGAAAACATTCTTTAAACAGCACTTACTACTTTGAAAAGTATTACATCTACTCTAAAAAAGTAATTGTTAAACACGTGTCCACTTTCACGCTTCAATCTTTCGCTTGGCAAGCATATTGCGGAATGTCCAATAACTAACGTCACCTTTTCCAATCCAGTACTTCATGAAACGGCAGAACGTCGGAGTCGGTCACAACCACCGGAACGCAGCCGTATCGCAGGGCGTCGATGAAATGCATGGACGAACGCCAGCTCAAATCCAAAAAAAGACAGAAGCGCGTTACCTTAAAAGTCCTAAAACGATCAACAAATGTGAATACGATAACAACGCGCAAACCTGCAAAAGATCTGGGTATGCAAGATGGACCCCGCTTGAGTCACATCGCACAGAGTGGTTATAAGTATGACAAAGATCGACGATGACGATTTTGCTGCCGTATATCTGCCACTTGTGCAACGACTCCATATATTTCTCAACACTCGACGCCCAGAATACGGCCAGCAGTTGCTTTCTTAACCTATACCATGAAGTGTACTCAACGACTGTATCCGAGCCACTTATACCTCCTCGGGCCGTCACCATCGGCTAACGAAGAAAACCGATTAAACACCGGCATCTTGAGATCAAATGAATATCGAAACGAGTCTTCAGCGAATTCGCTCATCGCTAGAATAGCTTTACCGGTATACAGCTTTAAGTCAGGTGTGGCTCTGAGAGCTGGCACCATATTAAAAAGCACATGGTTTTCACCATCCTTCCACCTGAAATGTGCTAACGGTGATTCATAACCAATCGGATAAGATTACAAAATAGACTTGCAATACAACAAATTTTGATTGAACAAGCCAGATCTAGGAGCATTTAAATGACAAATGCTGTTTGCTAAGAGGAAGCACGACACGATGTATGAGTTTGGATAGAGTACTTAGGCCAGAGTTCTGAGATTTTGGCAAGCAAAGGGCGAAGAACGTCGTTTATTTAGCATTTTTGAAATCGCCTACCAAACATTCAAGCACATCTCTCATTTCTACTGCCTACAAGCCGCCGTTTTCTGTGCAGAAAGAGAAACAGCACAGGAAATAATTGTTAAGTCTTTATTTGAAATTGAGACATGTAACAGCCACCAATTTTTCTACGCAGGTTTGTAATCCAAGTTCCAACTCCGTAATACTAACAGGTCTAGGATATAAGACGCTATCAGCACTGACATCCGCAGACTTATCAGTCGATCGTTTAGCTCTGCAGATGGTCGTTTGCATTCGCAGCGAGCGAAAATATGCTAAAATCAGAGTGTAGCAAATACTGACGTCAAAAATCCAATCTGTACACGACACATCAAGACTGAAAGCTAAATCTTAAACCAACAGGGCATTATGAAAATTATTTCATTAATAATCATCATTTCATTTTATTCGACGTTGCCTACCCCGAGCCAGGATGTGAATGGATTAAGGACATGAACCATGGTGAACTCTCCCAAAAATCTCCGTCAACAACCTTTCATTTTGATGACGCTACCAACAGATATACGAATTCTGTCGCTACCTGGGTCTCAGAAATCACCGCAGTCCATTAGAGAACTGAGGCAGACTGCGAAAAGTCGACAATCAGAACTCGCTTCTCCACTTCTGGCAGCTACGGGGTAGCAGCACGGAGACGACTGCCCAACGTCGACCAAAGACGATGAAGATAGCAGAGGGTAACGCCGTCACTACTCCTTCCAAAAGTTAGAGGTGTCGCTGTGGTACGTCATGTAATATTACATTAGAACGATATCGACAATGAGAGTTAACGGTAAGAAAGCGGAATATATCCTCACTCAGAGGGAAAGACCAAGAGTTAGTTGATGAGGCCATAAAGTTTGGTTAACGACACTATTGACCGACAAAAACTCCTAACGGTTTGAACGTACCAACTAGAGTTTTGCTTCCATTTCTAGCTACCTGGCATAAGTAAATTGGCGTTGCAGCAAGAAATTATATAAAAAAACTTTCTCCCTATTCGCTTTGTGCCGGCAACATTATCTTAAGGTTCGAAAGCTCTGGGGTTGCGTAGTCGAAAATTCTCAAATTATGGATTGCGATTTGTTAACTGGACGATTCCATGAAAGTACATGGAAGAATTGAATTCTCAGCTCAAAAGATGAGAAATTAATATAAAATTTTAACGACACTTGAGATGTAAGTCTAACAGCTGCTGTCAAACATCGGTTACACAATTTACAGTGCTACTGCTTTCAGCAGTAAGAATGATCAACAACGATACACCACCGGATACACCGCCGTACCAGGGCAAGGCAGCAAGCACGTGATTAATGAGCAAGAGGTCAGCGTGCCGCAAACTGAGGGTGTCGATAAATGGCAACAGCAAACAGGCTTTGTCAGGATCTGCTTCGAAGTAATGACTGTTGCGAATGACTCTGATCAGTTCGAGAAATTCGGACGAAAAATTTAACGTCCGTTTGGTCCCGTTTATACTGACTTGGTACTGTGGATAGATGTACACGGTCAGACGGCCATCGGCGGCGCCACAGCGGTACGGGTTGTAACATGACCACCAATTGCACGAAGCTACCGCTGGCATCATAGCCGCGCCCTTGTCGGTGGAGTTGATAGACAGCACAGTGATACGGTCATCATCGCCGGACATCAGCCACGACTCGAACGAACTGAGCGACTGCAGCACAACGCCTGTGAACGTCCAACCGGCCAGGAAACAGATGACAATTAAGCCAACGAACCGCACGTTACAGTTCACACGAGACGTCCTGAACTGTCGAAAGTGCTTATTCAGCATGAACTGTAAGTGGGAGGGGGCCGCGTAACTCTAAAAGGCTTGATTCAATAGCCTACAAATCTTAATTAGTAAATTAAATTAATAAAATCAAACCTCATCTGGTGACATTCAAAAACACCGTCATCGCGTGAACTATGGATACCAGAAGAGAACACCAAATTTTATTTTATACTGAAAGATTTACAAGGTTCACGGCAAACCGCAGCTAATAACTGTCATCAAAAAGAAAAACACTACCGCGATGCTTAATCACGCAGTCAGCAAGGTTCACGGACGGCTGAAAAGTGCGCCTTTTCCTTGGCGACGCACTGAATAAAGTCGTTGCCAACGTCGCGACATCGTAAGGATCGGCCTTTGTTCTGACGGTAGCACTGCAGCAAGTTCTCCTGGGCATCGACACAGCCGATCTCGGCCGAATGTTCCTCAAAGCTTCGGCGAATCGCCTCCGTTTTTTCCTTCAGCAGCTTTTGCATCTGCTGACGCTCCCGTTGTCGCTCCTCCACTAAGCGGTCCCACTTTTGCTTGTAGTAGAGCTCTGACTAAAATCGATTGTTAATTTCATATCGATATGCGCATTACGGACCTTAAACCGCGCTGTATCCGCCTCCAACGTATCGGCCATCTTTGTCTCTGTCCGGCTTTTATCAGGGTGAACTAGTGGAACTACTTCTTCCATGACATTGCTTTTCATCGAGTTACTAAAGTAGATTTTTTAGACATGAACACAGCCCACTCGTCAAGTGGCTAAATTCGCATAATATAAAACAGGAGTCTTCATAAGTTAGTTAATTAAAAACAGAAATTTTTTGTTCGCATTTAAAATATCTCTGAAAAATAAAACGACTAATCTAGTATGCATACATATTGAGACAGACTTTAGATTTGTTTTGACAATATATATAAATCAGGGTAATAAAAGTTTTCTTTGCAACAATTTCTACCAGATGGTAAAGTATATATGAGGAACTGACCCCTGAAACATCAATGGCGATCTGTTTAATTATGGCTCTGATTACTGACATGCCAAAATACGGATTTACTACCGTAAATTAATTTTCACTCCTAATAACGAGGACGCCTAACATTAGTCACCTTCTGGATTTACAGACACAATCGCGCCCCTTTGTTCTTGCTGATGACAGGGTCAAAGCCTTGGAAGAAGGCCAGGGCCACATGCTTATCGTATGCATGCATTGCACGGACGCGATTTAACATTTATGCATTGCAAGCTCCACAATATTATAGAGCCTAACGTGAATATGGTTCCATAAGCGTCCAGAAACGACGTCGGAAGTGTGCCATGTGGATTCAGACAAAATACGAACAGCAACTATAGTTATTAAATTTTTGACCAGCTAAATTCTGACAGCATTTCGTTCCTCACACATCACATTCACACTACCGAGACCGCTAGGAAAACGAAAAATCACATGAGGTTCAGATAACATTTTTAAAGGTCTGCTGGACACCATAATGGGAAGGTGAAGTTTTAAATGTCAACGCCAATCGCACAGTTCCAAACGCAATTTTTTACCAATCTCTGCACTTGTCAAATGCTTATAAAAGCAGACCTTGCCCCTAATGGACAAAATCTGTTGGCAGATCAGAGCGATGGCAGTTTACGTAGATAAAACGGCGGCAATACACATCGCTAATAACTCGATAATGAAAGATGTATCGGAACAGACTACTCTTGACCTTCCGTCGGCACTCAACAATGTTCCCTGTGATAAGCTGTTGCGACGCTTGGGCGAATTTGATAGTAACGAATGCATTATTCTGTGGTTACATTTATTTCTGCTATCGTATTCAGTCTGCTCAAGTGAATGGGAAGTCCGAAGCACTGGAAATCTTTGTCGTACAAGGTTCCGTTTTCTCGTCTGCTTTCTATAATGTAACAGGCTGTTGGTAGCCAGCGTCGTGTTAAATACTGACAAGTTTTGCCCGGTTCATAGATGTTCAATTAGGTCATAAAAGTTTCAATCGTAACTCTTGGTGATGGACTGCATCGCTCAGCGATGACGATATCACCTTCAGATGGCAAGGGCGTGTACAGGCTATGACGGGGCACCGCGCACCATCGTAATCTGAAATACATAGGATGGAGATGATAGGTCCCATCAGTTCTCTCTTCAGTGATGGATGGCATGGCCCAGATAAAATAATCACTAGCGCTTAAACTATGAATCTGATCGATAGCATGAACTGACGCTGAGAGCTGGGCCCGGATGTGTTCTAGCATTGAAAAACCGGATGTGTTCTAGCATTGAACGTGCATATAAGCGCCCATCCGGAGTAGAAAATATATGACCATGACGGCGTAAATAAACTTGTAACTAAATAATGGAATATGTTCTTCTTCGAATAATGTTCTTCAACCAGGCAGTGGTGCCACTGATCCGCGTATGACGTAAAAGTTTCAAGCGGTTGACGAGATGAACTGAGACAGACTTGTCTACGGGCTGCTAAAAAATAACATGTACAACAATTGTTGCACCATCGAATACCCGCTCAGGTGTATAAGATACGCAAATTAAACACCTGTACTAGAACTGATGAGATCATCTGAGGACTGTGCCTACTATGAGTATGCCATTCCCGTCATATACAACTGGATATCGTCCAACTAACTAAAACTGATCATATCCGTTAAATGGCAAGAATAGATTTGTAATGAGAAAATTAAATTTGTAAACACTCAGATGTCGACATCAGGATGAGAGCAAAAGCTAGCGTTGGTATTCTGGTAGAATCCAACCTGGCAGACGGAATCAATGTTTCTGTTAGCGGCGGCTAAGTTCAAAGCATTATTAAGCCTCTAGAAACAATGGGACGGTAAGATAGTGCTGTATTAACAGTAGGGAAACCTATTTATTAGTTATTCGTTTAGTAAATCTACTATCAAATAACTGCATAATCGAATCTGTCCATTGTTAATAATGATTGGAAATAATAAAAATTTAATACAAATCCGAGATCGCTGCTTCATGGGTAAGAAAAAATCCGATCTGGGTAACTCTGAAGGACAATTATTGTTAGTCATTTACGAAAATGACAAAGATAACATCTTAGGTGAGCGCTCACCTCTCCGCAGTAGCAGCACCATTTTTGACAGGCCCTTCGTCTTCGTTGAGCGAACTGCCACCCTGCACCCGACGTATCACGTCATCGGATACTTTGACGATATTATACGACTCTTCGTCCAGTCTTTCGATAGTGATACGATGCGTACTTTCATTTCCGCCCATTTGCCCTGAAAACAGAAAATCATTAGAACATGAACAACAACATACCTAGTATCATCTTACATACTCAAAATCTGCACGCACTGAAAATGCGCCTTCTTTCAACAAAACGCTTGAATACAACGATACCGTCGAATTTATAACAGTAGGTTATGAGACTCTATTTCAATGCACACGGCACAATATGACGACTACATTCAAGAGACTACTATTTCAGTCAGTTAGGGAAACTCAACTGAACATCTCGTTGCCTGTCTGTGAAGTAGTTCAGACAAGTATCAACTTCGGCAATTTTCTGTCCAATTCTTGCTACAAGTATTCGCATCGCTCGCGATTCAATTTGAAAATGAAAAAGACTTGTCCCCAAAATAATGCTATAGCCATCCTCGGTCAAGACAATGCTGTTTCATGCCAGAGAGACCAATAACAATAGTTAAGCTGCGTACAATGGCGTTAACTTTAAAGCAGAGGTTAAAATGTCAGGACCATTTAATTACTGATGCAGTTCACTTCCGGATACAAATATGCACAGCAGGTGCAGAGAGAAAGTTAATTTTACTAAAAAAAATTAGCTGAACATAGCAAGAACCTTCATTTCAACCCGTCAGTTTTGCGCCTGGAAGCCAAAACACAACACATATCGACCAGGCAGTCAGCACACACCAGGCAGTCATGTACACCAACCAAGTGAATTCGCCAAGCTTTCACTGAGAAGTGTACGGATTCAAATACTTCTACCTGTATATTTACGATGAGAACATGTTTCCGCCAGGAAAATTTGTCTTAAACATATATGGAATTCTGCAGACCCGAATAAATATGGGTTTGTCAGCAAACGGCTAATTCAGCCAATAGAGTGGTACTCGCAGTCATAAACTTGAAGAGTTGAAACCCAGGTCGGGCCAGTATGCTTTATTACATTCATGTAAATAATGACGTAGAACCTCGTGGGAAGGAGAGGGTAGATACACGCTGTGGTTACCAAACAGGTACAAATGTTGTGTTGCGATGTCTTGCATAATTCAGATCTAACCAAAGACATCAAAACTCAGGGGAGGGAAGGCCACCGAAAGGACGGCGCCCCAAATCTTGCCTGCTATCGAAGTACAAGGAATATCGGCCTGTTGGCTATCGCCATATTTCGTATCTCCGTTATCTGAGGTCATTTCGGTGCTCATGCAGATCTTTACAACTATCTTTGCGACTGAAGAAAATATACTTTATGGTACATGTAATGCGCGACGTGTCATGGCAGAGTGCATAGAATACTGGAAAAGGGAAAAAAGTTTGTAATCGTTGGGATGTTAGGTGCGGTGCTGATCACGGTTTTATGCCATCAGCCCGGAGAACGATATTCATTTTTTACAAGCATGATCTGGAGTTATATGGTAAGTATCGTGTGCAGTCTCCACAAAGCATACAGACATACAAGTAATATACATAAGCTCGTCTTAACTCTTGAGCGATGGTTGTCACAACAGCAGAGTCGATTAATAACAAAAGCTAGTAATCCTTATCAGTCGATACTGAAGATGACAAGTAGAACAGAAATGCCAGTATCAATCCAATATGCACCTCTTACAGTCGTTTTTTATTGGCGAAACTTGGCCATCACTTTAAACTGAGCGCAGCAGGTTCCCAAGTAAACGCCGTTTCTCTAGCGTGCAAGCATAGCTGAAGCATATATTTTGCACTTCATCGCTCTGACGGCATCTACATAAATTTAAATGAAACAGCAGAAATAAACTCTACTATGACGGATTTGTTAACAAACCACCAGTTTTCAATATCGCAGATAAGAATAATATCCTCATGTAAATCTCCGGATCCGGGGAATTGAAAGGAGAATTTATATATTACATTTAAATTTATTCAGCGGTCATAAGCCTAGGACGATTTGCCGTCCTACGCGGAGGATCACTGTCATAGTTTTGGTGAGTTTTCGCATGACCACCCAAAAACATGATGCTGTTCGCGACAGTTTAACAGTCCATGCCATATTACCCATTTCTTGGCTTGTCGTACAAATGCCAAGTAGGCAAATAACAATTAAGATGACAAATTACGGTATGCTTCGAAGCTAACTGATACCTCTAATACACTAGTTGGTTGGTTGGTTTCTATGGTTGTGGCTGCAACCACCACACTTTGAGCCAGTACAAATGACTACTCGGATGACTGCATTCTACATTCTGTTGATCACTGCAATATTCGCTACCAGGTTCAGCCAGCCGCAATATGTATCCCTATAGTGTCGACCAAGAGATGACTTCAACATCAGCTCTGATAGTCTCCCGCTATGTCTTTACTGTCCGCCTCTTTCCGATACCATTCACGGATCGGGGAAGTACTCAGTAAAATTGAAGCGATATCGTCCATTGGACATCCCATCGAATGCCCCTGCCAATGCAGTAACCATTCGTTCAGAACAACAGAGAGCTGAA